GCGACGGTCGCCCAGGCGAAGTTGGCGAGACCGACCTCGGTGGTGGTATCCCGAGGTCGTCGTGGCTGATCAGAGGCAGTCGTCAGCACGAGGCTGACGTGGTGTGTGTGCAGGCAGGTGACAAGACTTTGCACACCAATCATCTGCACGCACCTGCAAAGCGCTGTCGACTTTGCACTGCTGGAGCGTGGTCGACCAAGTCGTGCTGGAACGCGGTCAACCATGCTGTGCTGGTAGTCCACCAACCTGAATGCTAGCTCTGATATAGTCTTGCATTGCCAACTCCATTGTACCTTTGTTGTCATCTTTTCTTAGTGAAACTCTTGCCAAATTGCCCCGTGAACTAGCAAGCAGTGTGAACACTAGGAAAACGCCTAAGGGCCAACGAACGCAGAGATCACACGAGCACACGTGCCTAGCCAGTAGTCTAGCTCCCGTTGGAGTAGTTATCTCCGCATGGACGACCTCTTTAAGAAGGTATTTTTATCGGTGCCGACCATTCCTTGCATGGGATCGTCCTTCCAACCAACAGTGACCATCACTTCCGTTGTCTAATTGCAGGCGGAAGAGCTTGCTAAGAAGGGGTCCGACGCCGACATTGCCGCCGTGCATTTCTGGCGTACCCTCTAGATGTTTCGCCGCATTGTTGCCGAGGACCTCGATGTAAAACTCTTCCGCACCCCTTGGCACCCATACGTCCAGTTCTCCAAGCTCTCCCGGATTCCCCTCTTCCAGCACTAGGCGAAGAGGGTCGAGAAAACTGACACTGAGACCATAAAAAAGCGGCAAGACCCAACCCTCATCCAGCCAGAGGTAAGTTATTATGCATATCGACATTGACATGTGCACTGTGACCGCTACAACCCATCACCTGCAGCATAATTTGCCTACCATTGTAGGGGATATCGCTCCGCCTCAAAGAAACGCTGAAGCTCGAGACGGAGCGGTCAGCAGTCGAGAAGATCGACCTGGAAGAGAAGATCGACATGCAAGACGCAACCATCGCATCGCTGACGGCCGAGATAACCCGCCTCACCAAGGCTCTCCGCGTTTCAGAAGCTCGTAAGATGCCGGAAGCACCGCCAGCTGCGAACGAGCCGAGTCATGGTGGCTCCGCAGACTCGACAAGCAAGGGTAATGGAGACAAGAAACCCCCTAAACCCTCACAGACGATCGAGGAGGCTAGCAACAAGCTCAACGTGGCGCAGCCTTGGCGGAATGCAAGGATCGTGAGGGACGCGTGGCGCCTCTGGACCTCGTGCACCAGCGCCGACACACGTCGTCTTCGCGACAGGTGACGAGAAGTGAGAATGGAATGAATGAACTATGAAAGAGATGGGTACAAGAACTAACCCTAATTGGGTTGTACCCCTTATGGGCTACCCCACTACAGCCTACACAAATGTATAAGCTATAATGTTCGGACACACTCCAATAGGCAAAGTGGGGGAGAACAAGTGGTCACAAGACCAGTCAAGCAAAGTAAAGCAAGCTCAGGGTGGATCACAAAGTCACCTCACAGTCCGAGCACAAGAGAAAGGCCACAAGGCCAGTTCACATGCAAGGTCATATATATAAAGGTAAGACAAGCAAGGGCAGGTATAGAAAGAATACAGTACAAACAAGATCAAGAAGTGAGCAAGTAAGGCCAGGTAGGCACAAGATCTAGCACAGTACAGAAGCGCTGATGATCACAAGGCGGAAGGGCTTTGGTGAAGATATCAGCAGTGTTGGCCTCAGAGGCCACGTAGGTGAGGCAGAGCTGACCACGCTGCTGCAGCTTACGAGACAGGAAGTAGCGGAGAGCAATGTGCTTCGTTCAATGCTCTAGTCTATGCTCCCGACACAAGGCTAGCATGGCCTTGTTGTCTACGTACAAAACTAGAGGAGAATGAGGCGGCTCTCCTAGGTCACTCAGCAGGTAGGTGAGCCATCGAAGCTCGTGTGCACCCATGGCCCCTGCGTAGATCTCAGCCTCACAGCTGGAGCTGAGAACAGAGGACGAGCGGGTAGACCGCCACGAAACAGAGCCGGAGCCAAGGCTGAAGGTGTAACCCTGTGATGACCACTGCGTAGCCTGGTCGTCAGCCCAAGAAGCGTCAGCGTGACCTGTGAGGACTACTCGACATCGCCCTCCAAGCACTAGCCCCATGCCCGACGTACTGCACACGTAGCGCAACACCCTCTTCGCTGCATCCATGTGCTCTGGTCTGTGTCTCCCAGGAGCAACATAGCGTGCCGAGATGCTAAGAGGGTATGCAAGGTCAGGTGGTGTGCAGGTCATCAGGTACATGAGGCAGCCAACAAGCTCTGGGTACGGGCCACTCGACTCTACGGACTCATCCGAAGGCAGAGCTGAGAGCGAGTGGCGAGTAGACAGAGGAGTGGCCTGAGGCGAGGAGTACGTGAAGCCGAAGCGCTGAAGGACCTGCTGCACCATGTGTGACTGAGTCAGGGTAATGGTGCGCTGTGCTCTGTCTCGGATGATCTGCAAGCCAAGGTAGCTGCGCAGTTCACCCAGGTCTTTGCATGTGTCTCTCTTCTGCAGCTCGGACTTCACGTGGGCGAGTCCAGCAGTGTCAGTAGTGGCAAAGACCAAGCTGTCCACATACACGAGGATGTAGAACGGTGGCAAAGAGATGTTGGTGCGTAGAAATAGCGATGGGTTGTCTGTAGAAGGAGCAAACCCAAGAGCCGCAAGTGTAGTCCTCAGTGTGTCGTGCCACTCACGGGGCGCCTGGCGGAGACCCTAGACTGGCCGCCAGAGGCTCCACTGGGTACGAGTAGGAAACGACCCAGTGAAGCCAGGAGGGCGGCGCAGCCAGATCTCCTCGTGCAGGCTGCCCTACAGGAAAGCTGTGCTGAAGTCAAGAGAGTGAAGCTCATAGTTGCGCTGAGTGGCAATGTGCAGCAGCACCCGAAGAGTGGTCATCTTCAAGGTGGGAGAGAAGGTCTTAAAGTAGTCAACTCCCTGCCGCTGACTGAAGCCTCGAGCCACGTAATGCGCCTTGAAGACAGGCGGAGAGCCCGGCGGCCGCTTCACCCTGAAGATCCACATCCCACTAACAATGTTCGCCCCAGGTGGGGGAACCTCGTCGACGGAGGTGCTTATGTACTTCTAGGATTCCATCTCTGCGTCCATGGCCGAGTGCCACTGAGAGGAGTAGGGACCCTTGATCGCCTCAGCGTACGATCCAGGAGTCGGGATGTCTGGTGCATCCAGGTCTCCCTCAGGGGCAATCAACGTGGACACGAGATAGGGCAGAGCAGACGAAAAGCACTGGAACTCCTCCTGCCTGTCCTCAAGGACGTCCGTGCTAAGAGCACACTCACCCCCGACGGACGGAGGACAGACAGACTCAGACTCAGCAATGAGACATGCAGCATAGTCTAGATGACAGCGAGCAGCAAAGTCGACAAGCTTAGCAACTAGAGTAGACGCAGAAGTGGACTCAAAGGAAGGGTCAGTGACGACAGTAGCAAGCAGGCGCGTGACCGAAGGACTAGCAGCACGAAGGGAGTCAGACTCCAGGTCAGCAAGAGAAGGAAGAGAGGACGTTGGAGGAGACGGCAATGGGACACGCAGAGGAGTAGTGGAAGGACGCAGTGCCATCTGGTGTGTGCCAGGGACCGCAGGAGGACAAGGACGTGCAGTAGGACCACTAGTGCGAGCAGCACGAACAAGCGACGCAGGACGGGACGCAGGCTCATGACGCTCAGCAAGACCTCCAGTAGGACCAGTGTAGGGAGAAGGAGCAGGTAGAGGGGAGGCGGGCTGTAACTGTGACTGCGACTGGACAGGCTGTGGACACTCTAAGGGAGGAGCAGGACCAGTAGAGGGCGGGAGACCAAGAACGTGCTCCAGGAGCGGAATGAAGTACGGCCTCGGCCGCGCAGCGCCTCCTGAACCAGCAAGAACGGCACCAGTACCCCCAGCGGCAGCACCAGGGCCAGCAGAACCTCCAACTCCACCACCGCCGCCTCCGCCGCCTCCTCCACCTCCGCCTTCTCCACTACCTCCGCCGCCTCCGCTCCCTCCGCCACCTCCACCGCCTCGGCCGCCTTCACTGCTGCCTCTGCCGCCACCTCCACCGCCTCCACCGCCTCCACCGCCTCCGCCACCTCCACACGCTCCTCGACGGTGCCTCGCAGGGAGGACTCGGGATGAGGGTGTGCCGCATGATGAAGGTCATTGATGCGATGCGTCAGCTTTGTCTGGGCGACGGCGAAGCCGACACGTAGGAGGTCGTCGACGCGCTTAACAGGATAGTGGCGCCTGGCATTGGGACCTTCTCAGATGCCCTAACGGTGCTCAACGCCGACACCGTCGCGACCTTTGCCAGTCCGGGTAAGGGCGTCAAGGGGCTCAGCAAGGGTCAGGTTTCCAGGCTTTGTGTAGCCTGTGCGTTTGTGACGCGCGGTTTCAAGCTGGAAAAGTGGGTCGTGGACGTGTTCTCTGATACTTGGGAGGAGCAGATGAAGGTGACGTTGGCCGACATGGCCCGCGAGAACGACGTCGGGCAGCTGCCTCCAACCAAGAAGTTGGCCAAGTGCAAGAAGACCGCGTAAATGGTGCAGCATGGAAAGGTTTCAAGCTGTTGCATGTTGTAAAGCTTGTTGACGCAGATTGCACAGGTTTCGTACTGATTAATTTGTCAACTTGATGTCCCCAATCACAACCTATGTATAGTCGACAAGCTAATGGGTTAATTGCCGCATTTCACATCCTTGATAAGTTGACAAATCTATGATCGTGTTCTTCTCGCAATGTATACAATCACATTTTCCGAAACCCTAGACAAGTCTATGGGTTATGGTTCATTGTTTATTTCACATCCTACTTAATGTCAAGAAGCAGTCACACAAAAAAAAACACACAAATAAACGAGCTTCTCAATGATCTTACAGCCGACACACGACATCGACCATAGCAGAACCAAATCCTAGGAGTAATGAATCCTAGCAAGTCAGCAACCTTTCTCGCTCCAGAAGCCCGCCGACTATGCCGCCGTGCTGTCTTTGGCCTTCGTCTCCTTCTGGCCCTTCTTCCCCGCACTGTCCTTGGCCTTCGTACCCTTCTTCGCCGTGCTGCCCTTGGCCTTCGTCCCCTTCTTGCCCCTCTGACCCTTCCTCCCCCTGTTGTCAAGATCGGCCTTCATCTGCGCGTTGCATAGCACTGCGATACCCTTCGCTTTGAGTTTCGGGCCGGCGACGGGGCACATTCCCCAGAACGCCATGGTCTTGACTGTGACTCTAGCGACCACGTCGTTATCGACGCCAGCATTCCCCCCCGGGTAGACCTTGTCAAGGGCATGACTTTGCAGCGCTAGCGCGACGTTGTAAGCAACCTCTCCCAGGAGGCGGTCCCTGTTGATCTCAACGTTCAGCACCGCCTCCATGATAGTTCCAAATACATCGGCGGTCGCCTAGCTTGCTCCGCCCACAAGCGTCGCCGCCTTCCCTTCCTCCACAGCATCTGTCACCTGGGCGTCACCGTTCTCGACGAAGCACCACACAGTGCATGCGGACGCTTCTAAAGCCCATGCCGCCATATCCGTCTTCTCCTCCTTGTCTCCCTCCTTCGCCGCGTTTGCAGCGATCTTCCCATACGCAGCGCACATGCACACGCGACCTATCATCGCCGACATCATAGGCGCCGACTTCTCCTGGCCATCCTTGGTGTTGGCATCGACTTAGTACCGTATCGCTGGCAGGAGCGCGGCGTGGAGAGCATCGCCTGAGGCCTTGTAATGATGATACGTGTCGAGGATATCATTCAGCCTGTCACGCAAGCACAGCAAACATGGCAAACATTAGTGACCACGACAACGACATCATCACCATGCATCGACTTGGGGGCGGAGGATAACCGACTTACCATGTCTTTGGAAGGAGCGTACCCCGAGCCCACATCACTGTCCACATCCCTGTTGGCAAGATCTTGACCTCCTCCCACACCTCCTTCCACCTCTCCAATTCAGCGCTGTCCAAGACGGTGAGCTCGGACATGAGCACCTTGCTCACGAAACCGTCGTATATGACGTACGCGATGGAGTGCACATACGCGAGCTCCATCTTGTCAAGCGACTTGCTGATGTATCAATTGATGCCATGCACCTTAATCTCGCAGACCCACCCTAGCCCGTCGCCCAAGCTGTCGAGTCGGATGCCATGACCCCTCCTCTCCTTGCCCTTTTCCTCCTCCTCCTCCTCCTCCTCTTCCTCCTCCTCATGCTCTACCTCCTCCACCTCCTCGACCTCCTCATCCTCCTCCTCTGCCTTCTTCTTTCCCTTTCTCCCCTTCGACGAAGCATCGCCGACCGCCTTCTCTTTCCCCATTCTCCCCGTCGACGTACCTTCTCCGACTGACTTGTCCTTCCCCTTCCTTCCCATCGACGTACCCCTCGCCGAGCGACTTCTCCTGATTCTCCCCTGCTTTCCTTTTCACCCCCGTATTGCCGCCACCATCATTGTCGGCCGTTGTCTCCGCCGCCTTCGCCTTCCCTCTATCCGCCGCCTTCACCTCCGACCTCTCCCGCGTCTTCCCCTTCCGTTTCGCCTTTCCTTCACTGGCTGCATCACTGATCGCACTAGGCTTTGCTGAACTGCCGACGGGACCCGCCGAAAGCTTCACGTGTGCCGTGTCTGAGATGGCCAGTGTTCGGGGTTTGGCGGCATCCAGATGGGCCTGTATGGCAGCGATACCCACGTCGGGGGGAGCGCACGCATAAACGTCTTCTGCCTATCCAGCAGCAACAAAAGAAGCTCGCTGATCGGAGTCGCAACGATCATTCCATCAAGATTGGCGATCAAGTGCTTCTGGATACACGCAATCTCGACATTAGCCATCTTCCGTCTAAGCTCCGACCTCGCTTCTGCGGACCTTTTCTCGTCGAGGCGCAGGTCACTCCAGTAACCTTCCGCTTGCGTTTACCAGCTACCTGGAGAATTCATAATGCCTTCCATGTTCAACTTCTCAAGCCCTATCGGGACCCAAACACGGTCTTCAAAGGTCGCCAGCTGCCGCCGCCACTGCCAGCGATCGTTAATGGGGAACCCGAGTACGAAGTCGACGCCGTTCTGGCGCACCGACGACGACGTAGCGGCACCTTGGAGCTCTTGATTCGTTGGAAAGGCTATGATCCTTCCGAGGATAGCTGGGTACCTGAACACGATATGGATAATGCCCGCCGTCCTCTCCAGGACTACCTTGTAAAGCAGGTTGTTACTTCTACCACCCAGCTTTGAGGGGGGGAAGTGTGAGAGGACGTCTCCGTTATAATATTTTCTCACTATTATATTTTTCTGTTATCCTATTCTCCCTTTTCTCCTCTTTATTTTGGTCTTTATCTCATCTTGATCGGCCTACCATTCTATTTTCTAGAGCCTTCTATTTATTTCTCTTATTTTATACTTTTCCCCACCGACATACTTATTATACGGCACCGACAGCGCCGACAGTAGTGTATACGATGTAATCTGGGCGTAATCCCAAGTGCCAATAGCCTTGCGTGCTTATGCGCACTTGTGATTGTAGTATCGGGAAGGGTGTGTTCCCGAAGGTTCGTTTTATCTCGTTTATCCTTGCACTTTGTGAGTATAAATAGGCATTGTATCCAGTTTTAGTGACAAGTTTCGATTGAGAATTCGATCCTGTGACAAATTCACTCCTGCGAGTCAGCGAGTGACCCACTGCACGTGTGCTCGGACAGGCCGACACTTGGCCACGTTCACCCGTGGGCCGAGGTCGAGCCTGTACACACTTACTACTGAGTCTCCTCTGACAGCTGAGTCTGGTCAGGTAGCTGCATCAAGTCAGGTGTTTGCAGCAGCGTCCAGGTCTGGTCCTGAGTCTGCTCCCTGCTCGTGTCATCTCCTTTCCCACCAAACTCTCCTTTGGCACCACCGCCTTGGTCACCCCTCCTGCCTCGTCTCCGAGGCATTGCCTCCCATGTCCTTGTCTCTTGTCTTGCCCGGTCTCTCCCTCCCCTACCTCCGGGGCCTGCCCTTACCTACGTCCCCTGCGTTGAAAGGCGACAGCGCGCTGCCCCTCACTCCCCGAGTTTCCTCCGACAGAGGCTCCGCTGCAGACTCTTCCATGGAAGTGTGGGGCCCCGCCCGCGTCCGTGGACAGGGCCACGAGCGTTACTTCCTACTGGTGGTTGACGACTACTCGCGTTACACCACAGTCCTCCCCTTGCGCAGCAAGGGTGACGTCACTGAGGTGTTGATCGACTGGATTCGCATAGCTCGTCTCAAGCTCAGAGAGAGTTTTGGCTCGGACTAACCTGTTCTGTGTCTCCACTCTGACAGAGGCGGGGAGTTTTCCTCTGCACGTCTAGGAGCCTTCTGTCGTGCACAGAGCATCCGCCAAACCTTCACGCTTTCGACCTCTCCACAGCTAAATGGTATTGATAAGCACCGCATTGGCATGGTCATGGACGTCGCTCATACGTCCATGATGCATGCGGCTGCCCCCCATTTTCTGTGGCCGTTTGCGCTTCAGTACGCAGCGCATCAGCTCAACCTTAAGCCCCGGGTCTCCTTGCCAGAGACCTCGCCCGCCTTGCGGTGGACGGGGAAGGTTGGCGATGCGTCTTCGTTTCGGGTTTGGGGATCTCGGGCGTCTGTTCGTGACTTGTCTGTGGAAAAGCTGTCCCCTCGTGCTGTTCCCTGCGGGTTCCTTGGCTTCCCCCCTGACGCGCCTGGGTGGCAATTTTACCACCCCACCTCGCGCTGCATTTTGTTCTCCCAAGATGTCACCTTTGACGAGTCGGTGCCTTACTACTGTCTCTTCCCCTGCCGCACTGCGCCCCTCCCCCCACCGCCGCTCTTCCTTGCGCCAGGTCCTCCCCCGGTAGACCCCCTCCCCCCTCAGGGTCGTACCTCGTCGGGTGTGTCCCAGGTAGACGCAGTGGAGCCTGTCGAGGTAGCTGTTGACTCTGGTGCTGCTCGAGGTGCTGTGCCTGCGGGTGCCGGGTCTGAAGGTGCGGAGCCCTTGGGTGCTGAGTCTAGGGGTGCGGAGCCTGGGGGTGCTAAGTCTGGGGGTGCTGAGCCAAGGGGTGCTGAGTCTGAGTGTGTGGAGCCTGGGGGTGCTGGGTCTGCTCGTGTGACCTCTTGCGGTGCTTCGTCGAGGCGGGAGCCGCTCTCTCCGCAAGAGCTGCGCGAGTGGTTTGCTCGGCGCTTGAGCCGTGCAGCTAGAGCTCGAGGTACTACTCTTGCTGCTGGTCCCGGAGGTGCTCGTATTGGCGTTACTGGAGCTGCTGGGGCTAGGGGTACTGCTGGAGGTACTTCTAGAGCTTCTGGCAGGACTGGAGCTGCCGGTCCTACTCGAGTTGGTGCTGCTGGAGCAGCTGGAGCTACTGGAGCTGGAGCTGCTGGGGGTGTTGGCGTTGGTGGTTCTGCTGGCGCTGTTGGCGCTGGCGGTGCTGCATATAGCCGCTCAGCGCGACTACGAGCTTCACTCTCTTGACTTCAGCACTGCTTTCCTACAGGGCAGCCCGCACGAGGAGATCTGGCTGCGCCGCCCACCTGGCTTCACTGGGTCGTTTCCTCCTGGTACCCAGCGGAGCCTCCGGCGGCCAGTCTACGGTCTCCGCTAGGCGCCCCGTGAGTGGCACGACACACTGAGGACTACACTTGCGGCTCTTTGGTTTACTCCTTCTACTGCTAACCCGTCGCTGTTTCTACGCACCGACACCTCTTTGCCACCGTTCTACATCCTCGTGTACGTCGACGAATTGGTCTTTGCTAGTGCAGACACTGCTCGACTCGCCCACGTGAAGTCGGAGCTGTAGAAGAGACACACGTGCACAGACCTCGGTGAACTGCGCAGCTACCTTGGCTTGCAGATCACCCGGAACAGAGCACGTTGCACCATTACCCTAACTCAGTCACACATGGTGCAGCAGGCCATTCAGCGCTTCGGCTTCACGTACTCCTCGCCTCAGGCCACTCCTCTGTCTACTCGCCACTCGCTCTCAGCTCTGCCTTTGGATGAGTCCGTAGAGTCAAGTGGCTTGTACGCAGAGCTTGTTGGCTGCCTCATGTACCTGATGACCTGCACACGACCTGACCTTGCATACCCTCTTAGCATCTTGGCATGCTATGTTGCTCCTGGGAGACACCGACCAGAGCACATGGCTGCACCAAAGAGGGTGTTGCGCTACGTGTGCAGTACGTCGGGCATGGGGCTAGTGCTTGGAGGGCGACGTCGAGTGGTCTTCACAGGTCACGCTGACGCTTCTTGGGCTGACGACCAGGCTCTGCAGCGGTCGACACAGGGTTACACCTTCAGCCTTGGCTCCGGCTCTGTTTTGTGGCGGTCTACCCGCTCGTCTTGTGTTCTCGGCTGAGTATGAGTCTGTCTGTCCTCCGTCCGCTGAGCTGTCAGGATACGAGTCGGCTGGTCAGCAAGTTCCTGAATGGACTACACTACGAACTACGGCGGGATGTGGCAGAAGCGACGCTCAAAGAGGTCTACGTAATGGTGAAGCAAGTGGAGATCGGCTGTCGATTATGTGAAATGGAAACAACAACGGAGCGAGGAGGAGAATGGCGGAGGCCAGCATGGGCGGCAACGCCAGCGGAAAGAGCGAAGCCACCATGAGGGGCGGGAGATGAACGGCGGTGTCACAAATGCGGGCAGCCT